GGAAGGAGCGAGCGAGCGAAGGAAGGGAGGAAGGAGCGAGCGAGCGAAGGAAGGGAGGAAGGAGCAAATGAAGGAGCAAAGGAAGGGAGGAAGGGAGGGAGGAAGGGAGGATGGAGCGAAGGAAGGGAGAATGGAGCGAAGTAAGGGAGGATGGAGCGAAGGAAGGGAGGAAGGAGCGAGCGAGCGAAGGAAGGGAGGAAGGAGCAAATGAAGGAGCAAAGGAAGGGAGGAAGGGAGGGAGGAAGGAAGGAAGGAATGAGCGAAGGAAGGGAGGAAGGAAGGAGCGAGGGAAGGAAGGAAGGAATAAGCAAAGGAAGGAAGGAAGGAAGGAGTGAGGGAAGGAAGGAAGGAAGGAAGGAGCGAGGGAAAGAAGGAAGGAAGGAAAGAGCAAGCGAAGGAAGGGAGGAAGGAGCAAATGAAGGAGCAAAGGAAGGGAGGAAGGGAGGGAGGAAGGAAGGAAGGAAGGAATGAGCGAAGGAAGGAAGGAAAGAGCAAGCGAAGGAAGGGAGGAAGGAAGGAGCGAGGGAAGGAAGGAAGGAATAATCAAAGGAAGGAAGGAAGGAGCGAGTGAAGGAAGGGAGGAAGGAAGGAGCGAGGGAAAGAAGGAAGGAAGGAATAAGCAAAGGAAGGAATGAGCAAAGGAACGAAGGAAGGAGGAAGGTTGAGCTGACCAATCAGAGGCCTTCTGTCTGCGGTCACCTCCAGTTTTGCAGCAGAGTGTCTGTAGAAGGGGGCGGGGCATATCTGCATTCACTGCGATGCACACGCAGACCACCTGGTTTCTGAGTATAAACCAGCCTTCAGGTTTGCTCCTGGTGTTTTTAGGATAAAGTTTGAACTTTATATGCATCAGGATACAGAAATGAAGGATTCTAACACTGAACTATTCATGTATGAATCTAGATTTCTAGCTTAGTTTTTAGGAACTTAGAACATAGAGCTAATTAGATAGAAGCTGAGCTGAAAGGACCAATGATGATGTTATCATCGTCTTAATGAGGAGCTTAATGATTCCCACCTGCTGTCAACATGTCCTCCCTGGTTCATTTCTCTCCTCTTCTCGTCTTTTGACATCATTTTTTGCTTTCTTCATATTTCCTGCTCCTCTGCACCATTCAGTTACTAGCCACTGGAAGCTGAGCCAAACTGACTGGAGGGAAAACCAAAAAGCTCTCGTCTGTCCAACACTGCCATCTGGTGGTCAGGGAAAGATAGACGTTTGGAAGAAATCCCTCTGATTCTTTTTTTTTTTCCTTTTCCTGATTCCAACTTTTAAAGGGAGAAGCTTTGATTCTGTCATCGCCCTTTTCTCCCATGTTTGTTCCTAAACATTTAACACCCCCCCCCCCCTTTAAAATACATGCATTTTTTTCATGCTTTATTTATTGACTGAAGTTATTTATTTTCAATATTCATAAATACTTTTTAATAATAATATTCTATTATTTAATTAATTGTTTTGAAAACATTTTTTGCTCTTTAAAAGGGTTTTCCATTATGTTATTGTGCAGTTTATTACTGAGTGGTAAATTAAGAGAAATACTGATTTCCTGTTCCATTTCACAAAAAGATTGTAAACATAGTGTCTGAGCTAGAGAACTACATTTACAGTATTTTTTTTATTTTCATTTTTTGGACTGATTCCATCACAGATTATTATTACAGGTTACTTTTGACACCAGACTAACTGATGCGTAGATATTTTCTTTCTGTCTTTCTTTTATTGGGGCGGGGGGTTTATTTCAATACAGTTTTTCTTCCGCTACATGAGATTTATATGAGAAAAATGAGACGATAATAACGAGAGTGCATGCAGACCTTCACCAAGCAGCACATTTTGCCCCATATTAGGACTAAAACTGGATCATCACCAAATGTTAATGAATTGTTCTTCTGCATGAAGCCCACCTCCGGTAACAATTTCCTTAAAATCCTTTCATAAGTTTCTAACCAAGAACCAGTGTGTTTCTGCAGCCTCTGGTGTTTGTTCTGCTCCCTCCTTCAGTTTCTAACACATAACCGTCCATTTAGAGAAACAAATATTTTCAATAATATCGTGCACACAACATTGTTTTAAAAAAACTTGTCATTTATATCAACCCTCATAAATATGCTGTCAAGCACCATAATAAATTGTAAACATGACGTTAAGGATTTTCTGGTGCATAATTAACAGTTATCAGAAATCCCTACTACGGTCAGAGGTTTTAGAAATAATTGTTTTCTGTGATAAAAACAGGATTTTTAATCACAGAAGAGGCCAAACCATCGGGACATATCTGCGTTTTCCCTCCCTGTAAACAGGGTCTCTCTATCTAAACCAGTTTGAGCTCCGTAGCGCTGCTGATTACCAGATTCCCCGGTAGAACCGTCCTGATCCATCTGCTCCGGGTCGTTTTTTAACTTAACATCGCAGTCATCCCAGAGTTAACCCCTGCAAAGTCAATACTGCGTCACATCAAAACATGAATGGAAACGAAAGAAAATCCTCCACCTCCCAATGTTTGAACAGCGTTTATCTCTGGAGGCACAAATAAAAACAAGCAGAGCCGCCCAGGAATGCAGCTCGTTAACAGGTATTAAGTTTAAAAGAGGCCAGGCAGCTGCTGCCTCTGTGCGTGTGTGTTTACACCCGCACCGCTCCTCTGGGGACGCTTCATTTATCAAGCATCTGTTCACATTTAGACGGCTTTTAATTCCCTTACATGGGGCAGTCGCTGTGAAAATCTTACTGCTGAAGGATTGTGGCTTTTTTAAGGCTTTCTTGTAAAAATCAGAGTGAAAAATATGCCTTACAGTTTTATTTATGAAGTTTATATAATTGTTAACTAGGCTTATTTACTTTTTAACTTTACTTTTTAAATTTTCAATTAGCTTTTTACCTTTTTTTCTTGTTAATAAATTTTTTTAACTTAATATACAGAAGGTAATATATCATATATCATATATCATATACACACACATATATATGCAAGGGCTCATCTAATTGGTCAAATGCCAAAATAAGATGAACAGCCACGTAGCTGTATCTTTGCTGAATGGCTGGATATAGATCTCGTGCTTCTAGACCTCACTGAGGGACAGAGGCACTCTATTTGTAAGGTTAGGGGTATGCAAGTGATCAAAAACGCTAACTTGCCCTATAAAGGGTTAACCATGAGGTCAAAAACACTTTATTTTATTGCAGTAATTCAATACATTCAAAAAAGTTCATTTCTACGGCTTCCTCCCCCCCTGCAGTCCCACCAGCCCCCCCATAGGGGGCGTGCCTCGGTATTTGGGAACCATTTTTTTAATGAAATAATACAGTTAGTAAATTCTGTCTAAAAAGCCTCTGTAGAAGATTGTAGACATAAGCATAGGGAGGGTCTGACGGGTGGAGATGTTCTGATGAGTTTTTTGATTAACGACCTCACCTGTGGAGGAACAGAAAGTCCAGTTTCCACCGCCTGCCACTTCTACTTTCACTGAATTATCTTTGAAAGAGTCAGTTGTCACTTCAAACCTTTTCCTCCATCCACCCTCCCCCACCACTTATTAGTTAATGAGTTGCTGCTCCAAGGCGGGATGAGAAAGAAAACAAGCTGACTGCAACAGAACGGCTGAGGAGCTCCTCAGGTTTCATAAACAGGCTCCTGTTTCTTTGCTTCATCGTTCCCGTCTCCAGCAGAAGGCCACATCTGCTGGTCAGATCCACGGTTTGGTTCGATGCTGTGACAGCTAAGCTGCAGTTTGGGTAAATGTAAACCCACAAAGCAACTCTTCATGGAGTAAAACATTGGTTGAAGATGTCAATACATAGATTTTCATTAAAACAAGGACGACTAATGATGAAGAAGAGCAAGATTAAGACTGTTGATTCGGATTCAAAGCCTTTAACAGGTTTCAGAGGTTTTTCAGCTGCCTACTCTATAGACCTGTTCTTCTATACCTATCATTCATCTGATGCTGTGTCCAGCTGTCAGTGAGCCCCTCACGGTGCTCCAATCGGAGACGAGCTCCCAGCACGGT